CTTCCAGCAGGCTTGCATTTTCGTACTCGGGCCGGACTAACATTCACTGTTTCCATAGATTAATGTCATATTCTAGTCGAATAAATAAAGGCAGTTATGTCCTAGTAAATATTCCACCTTGATCGTATTTACTTCAATTTTATGTCGATTCATTTTTCCTGTTTAACTCGTATTTTAGATATTAGGGCCTCATCACCGAACTCTACTTGTCGCCATACAAAACAAAGTCCCATACTCGTTGTTGACGAACTAGGATATCTGTGTAATTATTTTAATCTCCTGACAAATAGTTGTTGCCCGTTTCAAAACTTAACACAGCGCTTTTTTTGTCATTCATGCAAATCTAATTACTGCTGCTCTATCTACGAACATTGTGTTTCTTGCTGCCTCAATCCAATTAATGTAAGTTACAGCTTGCTATTGTAGTACTTTTTACTATTTTTCAAAATTTAAATGTTAGTAAATAAGTACATCTGAAGCTCCAACCACAAGTTTTTAGTTCAGTTCCCGTTTTATCTACCAATGTTTAAATAATTAGTTGTCACCTTTAGCTCTTATAAAATAGATATGACGCGACCTAAATGTGCGTTGTTATCGAATTAATGTAAGTTTGAACTCAATCATCTCTACAACCCTATAGTGAGAAAACTTGTTTAACTTTAGTTTTAATAGTTCGTAAAAGATACAGTTCTATGTAGACTCTTCTGTGGAACGTAACCATTGAATTGGATTTGCATCTTTAAGATGAGCTTGGTTAACAAATTTCTGGGTTGGCTCTGAATATCGGAAGCCAATAAATAGAATAGGAGCCTCAACGCAGTATGCAAAACATGCCACTGACCTCAGAAATATTTACACGAAAACTTAATCGTAGTTTCGAGGTATGTGTATACACATATTATATGTATCTGTAAAATCAGTTTTTGTATTTTGATGGCACACCACCTGAACATGACATGCAAGTAAAAACATTCGAAATAACGAGTACAAAACATACCTCTGTCATATTGAGATTCTCAGAAACCGTAACAACTAAAAGGCTAAAACATAGACCTTACGTTTAACAAAAGACAGTGGTTAACATTCAACTACCCCGGAGTGATTGAAACGACATGTGACTAACTTGCCTTTTTTAACATTTTTCATTCAATCATGACTACAACTCAACGTGTCAAGTTTTAACTTTCCATTTTCTTATTTTTGTAAATTCCTAATAAACAATATTCTTGAACTGCCATTTTACTTATCGATAAATACTTTGCTAAATCTCAATTTCGACTCCATCAAAACTCTTCCAAAAGATTTCCTGCAATGTTATGAACAGTTCATCTTAATTTACAAGCATACCAAATGGAGACTTATCTTTGAATCTCCTTATAGGTTGGTATCAGTGGTGACTCTTAATGGTATGCGTTCTGTTCACTTAATTCTGAACGAATCAATGTCGACTCGGTGGTCAGAACGTTTGACTTTCAGTCGTTGAGTTTCATTTTGCTTAGAATTTGAATTGATTCGATTTTTATTTTCAACTAGGCAAATATTAAGCTGCATTTCTCTTTTATGTTACATTTAAGAAATCCCTGTGGGATAAAGTTCAAAATCTTAGTGCTAACTATAAACGTCATCTACAATTAGCTACAGATGCATTCGAATTTTGTATAGCAGTTTGTAGAACTTCTTCACTAGTAAGTATTTATTATTGCTAGAATTGATCACTGTTAATAGTAGTTTTAACTTTGTTTATATTATTCCTATGTTCATATTTACGCCTCCAATAGTAAGCTTACCAACTCCGTTACCCAATTTTTTAATGAGATCAATAACCCGCCAAATGCCCTGGTATGGCCGAGAGCGGGGTGGGTCCGCCCTCCCTCTCGAAATACTCTCACACGGCCACGCGTATACAGTCTTTGCCAGGGAAGTCCTACTCACTGCCTTCTCGTGGCGGGGGTGTTGTTTACGAGAATGAGAGGACGGAAAGCGAATATCCGGCGCTTTAACCGGATCCCAAACCAATGGTGCACATTGGCTCCAGTATCCTGCAGGAACAAATGGCGTATGAACCAATTTTCGGTCACCGGCTACCATGGGACTACATCTCCTTACGATGCTCCACTGCCTTGTGGGTTAGACCTTTAGGTCAAAGGCTCGGGGTGTGGCCTCCTAAGATAACCACCTGCTTCGGTCTGGGCACCCGGGGAGTATCACAGCCCACACGCAAATGACGAACTCTCTATATTTATGGAAACTACTTTTCTCGCAAACTTCCACATTCATAAGCTTCCAGTTAGAACACTAAGAACCCCAGGGAGTGGTCGAAAATACCTTTATTTGTTTACATTCATAACTCAATGTGTTAAATAAAAAACAGGACCACAACACAACCATAGTACAAATATTAGTAGATACGTAACTAAGATATTCCTAATTCTAATCTGAGTAACAAATGTATAGTCAGTAGGCTGAAAAGCTTATAATTAAGGCTATACAATTCTCATAATATGACTACCTGATAAATAATCATTAAAATGTACCATCTAGTTCGCCAAAAATTATCTGTCCATATTTCAGATTTCTCTTTCCTTTTGTCTTCCTAAGAATTATCATTACGCGAAATGTCTTGGTGTTTAGCATTGAATTTAATGTCTCCTTGCGTTGCATTGGCTAGTCTTCTCACTAGATAGCTCATTCAATTAGGTAGTACCGAAGTAGATGTTCGTTAGAAATATCTAGCTCAATCCAGGTTCCTTCATTTCCTTTAACAGGCTTAGTTCGTAATAGAATTAAGCTTAACACTACGATGTTTACCTAACACCAGTCAAGCTTCAAGTAAAAGTTGACGTGATCTGATTTCTGTCACTTAATAATTATGACAGTTTGTGTCGTTTGGGTTTTACATATCAATAAAATGCAAGCATATTGCCGATGAATAAAGAGATTCTCCGATCCATTATTAGGAATTTAATATCATGGTTCCAACAGTAAACAAGTTGAATTCCAAAGGTCCCCTTAAGGTCAAAACAATGCGAGTCATGCTAAAATGCATGAAGCTTAATTTAACGGCTTCTTGTCAATCGCATCCTATTGCAAAACTCAATCTGTCGGGAATTTGAGTCTGTATTTCTTAGGTGATTACAGTTAATTATTTACAGAACCTCCTACACACTCAGTATTAAATCTTGTACATTTGCACTGTTGCATTTTAGAGTGTCTTGCATGAAAATCGGTACCGCAATTTGGAAGAACTTTATTGCTTTGGGCTGAAAAGTTCAAATACTCCAACACACTGATTGACTTATCAGTAAATTTTTATAGATTGTAAGTCTTACTTCTATCTACATAAATTTCCCATTCTGATTGTAGAATAACCTTACCATTGTATGTTTATTCAGGTGACTAGTCTCAAACAGAACAAGGGTGTGAATAAAGATGGATGGTGGGTAGCAGTGAAATCCAGGACGCGCGTTTCGTCCTGTTTTGAACTCGTCAGCTGTGTGTACATGCACTCGAGTTGATGTTCACTCCGGGACTAGAACCCAGTACCGCCCGCTTCAAATGCCATCATATTATCCGCTTAGCTACTGAATCCTGATAGCCACTCGATTGTGAAATGGGGCGAAGTTTAAATTCATTTTGTTTTGTTTGTTTGAATCTTCCCATTGATGCTTAGGACTGCAGTTGATTTACACTTCTCCATCGTATAAGCTAGTGGCTATTGAGACTCAGTAGCTAAGTGAAATAAGACAACGGCGTTCTAAGTGGACGGTACTCGACTCGAGTACCGGAGTAAACATAAACTCAGATGCAAGTGCATCCAGCTGACGAGTTCAAAATAGGACGAAACGCGCGTCCTGGATCCTACTGCTGCCCACCACCCATCTTTGCTGATAATGCTTGTGACTTAAGGCAACATCGAGGCAATCCTCACAGGTTGCACATACGCCAATAACAGACTGACCAATTGCAGTCATAAACATCAATGGGAAGATTCAAATAAACAATACAAAATAAAAACAAGGGTGTGTTATGGGCTGCTGTGCTATTGGCCACATAAAATATTATCACCGATTCTTTTCAGTAAGCATATTTTACTGATTAGTGTCAGTAAAAGATTTAGACGTAGTTTGTGGCAGAACATTGATAAACTATTTTCGTACTTCCATTTTGTTTTTTGAACTTTGTATTTTACATATTCTCAACATTCATCTCTTGATTCTTACACAACTACTATTCTACTGACCATTCATCAAAATGTTCTGTTCCTTCTCTTCTTCATATGTTATGCAACGTAGCAGCTTCTTGATTTTCGAACAATTACTTTGATTATTATTAATCCTCTTTCTTCCAATTACCCAATGTTAATTTATGATCGAAATGTCATTATGTAATTATTATGTAACGTATCTACTCGATGAGTATTATTTCATTATTGTAAATCATATATATATTAGTGTGGATCCATGATGAAAAACAAATTGAAAAGAAATTTCTTTGCTCGATTCGTACCTTCTTTATTTACGAATTACAGTCATTTAGTTAACTTCTGTCTATGAATTTCATTGTATTCTTTCCTTAATTTCAAAAATCCAGCATCACAACGCTTTCTTTTAACTAAGTTTACTGTAGTTTTAAGGTAGAGTTTACATGGATTCAAAAGAATATTTTAAAGTTATTTTCACCTTTATTAAAATATCTTGATCAGTATCGTCACTTTCTTCATTTATACAGTCATCAATATGTCACTAGATCATTGTAAAAATTTGGCCTACTATCTACTAACTACAAATTATGCTCCATATCAAAATGAAAAGTTGCAACACTTGTTTGGTCATATTAATGATGATAAAAGTAGTAAAACACGGAGAAAACCTCTTTCGAAAGCTCCTACTACTGCAAACACCACTAAGAGTGTTACTGTCAACATATCATATGGAGATAATTCCTTGCCTGTATTATCTAGAAATACTCAACAAAAGAAACATTATAATTTCTTAATAAAAATGCTTAAACGTGACAGTCTCTTGCCAGAATCACTATGGAATAACGTAAGTGAACTTTCGTGGGCTATATCTTGAATGTGTGTACGTTCAGAGTGTAATATTTTCCTTCAATTTATTTGTCCATGAAATACGTTCTTATCTGTAATTGTCGGCATACAACATCGTAAATGTAAGAATCAGTTGGAAGCAACCGTTTAGCGGTCAAATTAAATCGTCTTAGATCAGTAGTCATCAAAGTAAGTTACTCTTACAGTGATGCACCTGTAAGATTCAGTGCTCTGTATTTTTTGCATATAAGATCCTAGTGTAAGTCTATGACTGCTCTATTTTCAAAAGCAAAGGATTGAGTTAGGCATTATGTAAAATATAATCACCGAAGGGCAACACCACGTGTTTAATATGGAGATTATATTTAAATGTCTTTATTATGGCAACCAGATGCATCGATAAGTTGACAACGAACATATTTTATTGAATGGTAATGATGTACCAATAAGTACTCCGTTTCCTCAGTTTGGTTCTTATAGACCTTCAGCAATATTATAAGGTAACATAACTACAGAGAATTACTTGTGTCCGATTTTTTACTGCTATTTTTTATCGATTCATAATTCACTGAAAAGGTTATTAGCTTGACGTTGATTAATCAAAAAGTAGGACACTTGTTAAATGCACACTTATTGTGAATTGACTTGAACGAAAGAAGCTACTGGGAGAGATAAGGAGTATTATACAACTATTTCACTCTAGTCTTAAACTCCTTAGCGGTCCGCACATATACGACTTCATACCTAAAGCGGATTCCAATAATTCACCTCATATATAACTAATATATTATCAGCAAGTTACTGCCTTCTTATAATCGGCTAAGTTTTGGAGGTGAAGATTTGTCACTGGAATTTCTGGAAATCTGTTTCTAGACTATTCACTAGTGAACACACGATCATTAGTATTATGTTGGTTTTGTGCGGATCCTCTCATTACTAACTGAAAATTAACTGAAAACAAAATCCATTATGTAAAATTTATCTGATAAGACTTTTTGATGAAGTAAAGTAAGCTTTTGCTCCACTAATAGGCATCTAAAGAGTATTAACTTTGCAGTATACATACGAACTCGTGTCAACAATGTCAATTCTCAATTTTACATAACTATCATCCATTGTTATCTGTGATACCTGTATCATACATAGTTGAATCCCATCGCTTAAATTGTTTCACAATGGGACTTTGGGGATTTTCATTGAAACCTGTGACTAGTGATATAGTTGATTGCTGAACGTTAAGATAGTTCACATTAGCTGACTGACTTAAGTTATAAAAATATTCTTCCTGTTTTTATCTTGTGGTTGTTTTAAAATAATTCAATAATTTCATCATTCTTTATTCTATTCTGTCTAAAGGTTTATAATCAACTATGTGATAATTTTGTTTGTGAATTAAATTCTTTGCATCGGAATTTTCATCAACTCACATCTACCAGTGCATTTGTTAATTATGTTATTCAATATCTGGGACGTTCATTTAGTATGAAACATAATATTATTCAGTTAACCGATATTGGATTATCAGAGTCATTTAAACATAATAATATTGACAATACTTCAGTGAGTAATAAGCTTCGTTTAGTTTGTGTTCAAAAAGTTTGATTAGTTTCTTCATTGGTTGTATAGCTTTAAATGATCCTAAATTGTTCGTTGTATACTTCCATTTATTGGTGATTTTCCTCTTTTTTTATTTATGTTATGCCTTTAGTTTTGCAAACTATTTTACAAACTTTTAAATTTACAAGTGTATGTAATTTGTGTACTTGTTTTCTGAAATGTTCTTTTTTTGACTTTATCATTTCTCATAATGCTTCCCATATTTATTTTTATAGATCCAGAGATATTCTTTTTACATTTGTTTTCTTTTAACGATAAATACATTTTATTTTTCATCCTTAAGGAAACTATGTATCCGAAAATTTCTTTTATCCCTTCAACCCTAAGTGTATACATATTTATTTTATTTTATTTTAAAGTCCCTCTACTGTCTTGGAAAAATCGACTACATTTTTTGATATTACTAAACAGTAGTATAAATGAATTAGTTTTATTAAAAGTGAACATTTTGTTTTATCAAGGTACTTTGTGCTTCATTTCCGTTTAATTTCTTTTTAACTAGATTTCATTGTTAGCAAAACACCTAAATTAGATTTAAATTATGAATTTATCTCGTTGAAGTATCACGTTTTAAATTAGTCAGTAAGCCACAAAGTAAAACCTGTACGTATGTACATCTGTTCAAGTTGCCATACCCCAATAGCACAGAGGGATGAAGTCAGGCCAAATCCCGGAATAGTAGAGGTAGTAACAGTATCAGAGGTAATAGGAAATATTAGGCATCGAAGACACTGCTCGTAAAGAAAATATAAACTAGCGAAATGAAAACAGAAAAAAATTATGAGGAATTTAGAATCTTAGGAATCGGGGGAAGACAATAAATGGATACACTTGCGCCGTTCCTAACGATTTTAAGCCATATCATTCAAAGTCTCTAACTATTGGCTACACTAATCACGAAGACCCTAACCAGATAGTCCATACCTACTTACATGGCCGAGTCCAATTTTCATTGACCGATGCCCTGTTTTATTTTGGTTGCCCTCAGTTTTTTTCCAGCCTAGTCCTGCACCAGAAAACATTGCCCGTCAAGATAGGCGGTGGTTAGGTATACGAAACACGTCCCAGCCACCTCAGTTGATCACGATTTACTACCTCATCAGTCGATTTACCGTCCTTACCCAGTACTCTACTCCTAGACCAGGTATTTCTTACTCCGTGGTCCCAAAATAGACGAGCAATGCTTCGTAGACTTATGATCAAATACTGGTAACTTACGAATATCCTCTATTCTTAATGGCCATGTTTCACATCCATAAAGTAGAACGGAGCGAACCGCCGCACATTAAACCTGCCCTTTGGTTGGAAGATGGATATCTCGCCTACGGCATAAGTGATAAAAGTTAGCAAAAGCCAGTCGATCCTTCTGAAGCCCTGTCGAGATTTTGTCCGACACCAGAACATCAGTAGTGATGAGACTTCCATAATAAGTGACGTGGTCGGTGCGTTCAACTACTTCACTTCCTATTACCCAAGCCCATCCTGAAATAACATTTGACGGGAGACAACCGCATCCCAAACATGTTTGCATTGTTGCCTAAGGTGGTCAGAAGGCTGAATTTTGTCAGCGTCTTCCCCGAAAAGAACTGTATCGTCTGTGTATCCTAAGTCATCAAGGGAATTTAGTGGAAGATCAATCCCTAGAAAGTCAGACGATGAAAGTGTTATCTCTGAGAGCATGTCTATAATAAACTTAAATAAAAGTGGACAACTCTGATGAACACAATTTAGAGTGACCAATTCCGACAACAGTTCATCGTATGCTCTGACTCGACCAGTAATGTTCCAGTAGAGATTCTGTACATGGTTAATGCACTTTCTTGGTACGCCTTTCATTGACCGACAATGCCCTAGAACCTCACGATCAACAGAGTAGAGTGCTGTCTTAATATCAAAGAATGGTGGGACGTCGAAAAGTATGGCTGTGTTCTAGCATCTGCCGGAATGTGAGTATTTGGTCTATACATCCACAACCAGGTCTGTAACTATCCTGACTTTCTCGTGTTAACTCTTCACGAGCCCTAGTTAGATGTCAAGTATTGTTGAAGCTAATATTTTATGTACTATTAGTTCAATTGACTCTGTGATTATTACAAGGGGATTTTTGTCATTTCTTATAAACTGGGACGATCAGCGATCGAGACCATTCAGGTAGAATTACGTTCAGTTTTCAGTTAACTACTAAAACTAGACCATCATCCTTAAAAATCTCAAGGGTTAGTCCATCGGACCCTGCTGCTCTCCCTGGCTTTAGATTACTTACAGCCTTTTCAACTCCTTTAAGAGTTGGAGGACTTACACCAGTTTGCCATTCAGGTTGCTGGGAGATGGTGGGTAACTGTAGTGTGGCTGAAGGCCAGTTGGACTGTTCCCTAAAGTGTCCTGCCTGTCGGTCTAATCTCTTGGATTAAGAGTGAATAACAGTCCCTTCATTTTCTGTGACGGTTTCATTAAAAGCCGTATTTCTAATAGCCGTTTGCTTGATAAGTCTGAACAGTTGTCGGCTGTTACCCATCGCTGCTGCACCTTCCATCTATTCTATTTCGCTACCTACCACTGCTGACGATTATTACGTAGGCTTTCTACCAGCCTACATTTAAGCTGCCGACGCTTCTCACCGTGTTCTGAGCCAGACGTTATATGTTTCTGAGGATCTGCCAGTCCTGTAGACGCCTTTGAAATCCACTGATTTTTCTAGGCTTTTGGTTTAAAGCCACTAGCGAGTGCCACTGATGTTTCCACAGCATTTTGGATATCATACCTAGTTGCTTCTAAGTGGATATCATTTTCACGGTTGAGTAGCGCCTTCTCTAGTTGTATCTCATGTCAATTCTCAACTTTCTTATCATTAAGTTGGGCTCTAAATGGTTTTTTTTGCTGTGAATTCTCTACGTTTAGTAGAACGTGCTCGAACTAGAGCGCAATCTCAGTTTAAACATGTGCTCCAGAATGAACGACAGTTCAATCAAGCCCATCTGATGATGGCTAATGGCTTTAAACGATCTTAAGTTAATCATTCCTATAATGAGTGTCAGTTGTTCTGGTAACGTAGTTGTGATCTCCATTGGTCTGTCTGAAACAATACAGAGTAGAATTACAGCAAATCAGTTAAGTGCATGTCCATTGGTTCGTTAAAGCATACTAAAAGCAATGTTTTTATTCAGTTGATTACACTTAAACCTGTTTGTCAAGTACAGTTTTATGCTCTCGGGTTCAAGTTATATTCCAGATCCCAGGACTATTGACACTAGACAGGTGTCCCAACTGAATTAGACAAAGTGGCGTTCTAACATTTAGCACCAAACTATTACACCAGTGGTTGTACTTGGGAGACTGGCTAAGAGTTTTCAGACTTTTATACGTTCTGGATGTTGTTGTTAAATGTTTTAATTGTCTACAATATAAAAATAATTTTGGCTTGTGTAGAATATGCTTCAGAGTATAAAAATTTCTGTTGTTTTGCGATAAAGTGATTACTTCTTGTTTAAGTTATGATCATTTTAAAATCAATAAATCATTTCTCGTATTTAGGATGCACGTGTACATTTGAATATCAATTTGTAGTTACTTGCGAGTTGGTGTCCTCAGCTTTTTAGACGAATGAAAAGTAAGGTAGAAACATCCTAGGTAATATAGTTGAATGGCTTTTTTGTCAATTACCACTGATACCTATACTAGTTTATTTAAACTTTCGGACATAAGTGTAACCGTTTCTACGGAGATATCTTTGTTTGAGAAAACTGTTTTGTTTCAAATTGCAGTAAACAACCATATAGTTACTTGAGCAAACAAAGACAACATTGAAGAAGTCGCTACTCATATATTTACTAACGAATAGTTATACTATTTGTGCGATATTTAAATTGTATTAGAAATTTATAATAACAGAATTGAAACTCAAAAGTGACGACAACAAGAACTAAAGAATTCAAAAATCGAGAGAAGTGTATGGTTAAATGATTAAAACAAAATTGAGAATAATTAGTGTTGAGATTATTTTTAGCTGTGTGATGTAGTTATTAAATTCATTTAATGTGTTAAATTTTCTAAAATTCTATTTCTATAAACCAGATACTTTGCAGAAAAGAGTATGACTTAGAAATTTTTATCGATTCAGAATAAATCCTCTGATCTGTACCAGAACGCTACTTAATAAATTTTCCATGGCAGTTAGCCTCATATTTTACTTATTTACGTCTGCTGCACCTCCTGGAACATAGGCCACCGACCAGGATTAGCTGACCAACTCTGTCCTGGGCTCATGGCAGGCACTTTACTACAAATGATAAGTCTTCACTATAACATCATCTATGCTTTCTGAGTACAATAACCTATAAAATGGTCCGCCTAGTTGAGAATATCTTCTTAAAACTGTGCGATATTTTCGTAGTGAAATAGGTTCTCATTTTGAGCTTAGACAGTAAATAACGACTGTTTTTTATCATCATTAAGGATAATGTTCGTTTCGTTTGACAAATTAGTTTACCCTTTTTCTCTATTTCTAGCTACTGATTGATGCTATCTGATTACATACACACAATTTTTGAGCTGCAATTTTTTTCGGTTATCTTGGATATAAACCTTTGTAGCTTGAAAAAGAATTCGAGAAATCGTCAATTCTACGCTTAGAGATTTATGTTTCACATTACTGATATGAATATAGTAACATGACAATTCCTCCAAAATTACTTCTCAATTATGTAATAACTAGTCATTCTATTCTACAAAAGTTTTAAACTGACCCGTTGTGATCAGTATCCTGTCTGATTGTTACTTCCCGGTTTTAACATAATATTGTTTCCCAGGAAATCCTAGTTACTCGAAAATAAATAGACGACATCGATCATTTATCAATATTAATTGATTTTTTCCTACCGGAATTATGTACATTAAAATCTGAGGGAATAGTCAACTTCATATTAATGATATGGATAATAATAACTTATTTAAATTCCAAGATAAAACACTATCAAATAAACTGTCTGTTCCTAGTTTTTTTTTCTTGAAGTCAGTTACAAAGCCTTCTACTATGGTTTCAAAGGTGTTTATTTTAGCTCAGATAAATTATTATTATTATTTAGTTCATGTAGTCAATCGATTCTTGATTTCTTTCCTGTATTGAGAAGCGAATTTATGAGCATTTAAGATTCTGAAACTGCCATAGTTGTATTCATTCAATAAACTTTAAATTTTATGACTGACCAAATTACGAAATAGTCTATAATACTAAGATTGCTATGAAACTGAAACCAAACTCACTTTTTATGTATGTTCTGGTATTTACTAATTACAACCGGATAGTTCAAACTGAATCTCATGTTCACTGAATAAGGAATTATAACTCCATTGAATCCACAGACTTGAAGTCCTGTAGAAAAACTAGCTGACTCTTTTTATGTTATAAATTGTTTTGATAAGACACTAAGAATACGTACAACAAATTTATCACTCTAATAAATTTTATTGCTCAAGTTAGTGTAAGTTTATCACACGTTTCACAATTCTCCTGTTCAGGAATTGGAAATCTGATTCAACGCTCACATATTAAACTTAATGAAAGAGCGAAAAGAATCTTGATGATAACTGCTTTCGAATTTGAATTTCCTGACTTCTAGCATTCATTGACATTTCTCTAATTGAATGATATCAAAAGAGTCTGAATAAATAACTACACAGTTATATTTGTATTTATTTTAATACAAAAGTGTATGACGACAAATATGATTAGAATACACAATGTGAAGTAATTGAACACGATGATATCTGATTACTGAATATCCTTTCAGTTTAATATTTCAAATATTGCTCAATATTTTTGTATCTCATTGAGAATATTTTTCAACATTCAACCAGAATAAAATCCACATACAATTTAATCCGGGATTTCTAAGTTTAGCTGGTAGAATAACTTTAAAAAGAGGAGTCTTAATTAGTCTGATTTTAAAGAAAATCTATTGGTTATCGACTACTGATAATGATTACTTGATTGACATTTAAAACATTTCATAGTCGAAACTCATTTGAAGCTATATATCTAGAATTTAAGTTGCATTAATAATCTCATACAGTTAATTGAATAGCACACAGGAAATAAGTTTAATTTGGTCTAAAGATTTTACCCTTTTACAACATAATGTAGTCTTAACAATGGATTTACGAAGAAACTGTTTGTAGTTCTACGAAAATAGTATAGTGTTGGTGCCATGAAATAAGTTCAACAGAAACTGATTTATTCATAACGTAAACCATATTAATAAATAGCGAATATATATTTCTCACATTCAATCAAGACATTCAGTTGCTAATGTACAAAGATTAACAAATAAAAATGAATCAGTTGAATTTATCAATATTAAGGAAAAAATTAACACAGTAACATAAAAAAGTGAGAATAATTCGATTTAAAATATGAATATACTTAATAAATAATTTTACTAACACGACTGACTGAGATTGTGTTTATTGATGTTTCTTCCAATTGTACATTTTTTCTTATTTGTCGGATCTATTTCTATTTCAGATTGATGTGAAAACAAAAGAACAAATATTATCACACTTGACAGAGGCTCTTGCGAACACCTTATTAAAATATCCAATTCATTTAGCTTATAAAAGGTTAGTTAATTTACTATTTTCAAGCGTAAGTGATCCATAAATACGAAATAATTCTAACGAAGCTAATTGTTGATTAGAAGCTGATGTAATTTGATATCAAAAAGGTATTAAACCCGTCAAATATATTAACGTTAGTAATTTATGGATGAGTGGACAAATGAGTTTTCCTAATCAAATAATCCTAGTGCTCATTACTTATTTTTCATTTAGTTTAGAGTGTTTAAGCAAAAAGTAGAGACTGGCTATATATATGATAATAATGTGCATCACAATTCTTGTAGTAAAAAATTTTCGATAGTGAATAGTTTTTTATTAACAGCATTCGTCAGATGAGATATTCACTCTAAGAAATAATGATATATCTGCAACCTTACAAATAAACTAGAAATAATCACTAACTCTCAAGCTTTTTCAAGATGTGAGTTATGTGTTAAGAATATTGAAGCTTTTGGAAATAACCTAAGATGTTAAAGTTTCGACAAACTATTCAATATTGTTTTAATGAGCAGAGAATGAAAACATTGAAAGCAAGAGACCTATTCCATATATGTGGACAGTCTAAAGTTGTTTGTTCCACCAAGACAAACGTCATGACAGTAGTTTTGACCACTGTCGGATTCATTGGTGAAAACAGGATACTATCTTCCAGATTTAGACATAATTACCAAATCTTTAACAAAATCAGTTAATTTTATGCGAGGATGTTCAAGTAAATACCACATTCAGTAGGTCTAGTAACTAAAACAAAGATCTGGCTTTATATGTGAAAACTATATTTGGAATAATCTCAGCGATTGAAATTTAAATAGTTCCAACTTTTCGTCCACCTAACTTGTCTAGACTACTTCAGGGTAATAATCAAAATCAAAATCACCAAAGAAATATATAGCTTTTTACCAATCAAAACTACACTGTGTTAAACGAATCAAATTTGGATGCTGAAGAAGTCCAGACAAGTTATCTGGACGAAATATTGGAATTATTTAAATTTCAATCGCTGAGATTATTTCATATATAATTTTCACATATAATGACTCTATACTCTGCGCCTAATTTCTGTCAAACTATGCGTTCTAACCTTGACGAATATTCGTATAAACATCTGGCATGTTTTGTTGTGGATTACATGAGAGATAATATGAGCATTCTGATTGAGAGTTAGCCAATTACCAGTGGTGTTTTTTAAAATTTTAATAAGAAATACTTTAACTATACTCTTAGAGTAAAATATCTTAAAAAACACTAGTGTATTAATAGTCTGAGTGAATTAACACATAATTTTGTATTTGTTCTTAGACCACCTTCAGGCTTAGAAACTGTCAAATCGTACGTCTCTACATTTCGTAAACAATGCAAGGAAGTTCTAGAATATTGCCTATCACACTTCGAGGCAAATTATTTAGTGAGTGATAAGTAAAATAAAATAAAATTTTTGTGTCCTTAAGTCACATGTAATATCTGCTAAACCTTGAAAATCTATGTTACATTATATATCACTTACAGTCAATTTAATTAACAGCATTGCTGGGACTTAAGAAACATACTGGTAAAAAGTGATACTACTATATAGTAGTTTATATATTTTGTATGAAAATTAAAATCAAAATTTTACTAAACATTATGCCATAAACTTCATTAACTTCTTTATCTAAGACAATATACTCGACCTTACCATTGAATATATGTCGACAATGTTAGTGTTTTGAATTGTTCAATGATTGAAAAGCTGTAATCTTCATGAATAAACTATGTTCATGAATAATATTTCTAATCCAAATTTTTGGAACTGATAATATTTCAAAATTACTATTTAAGAGATTCTGATATCTGACCTTTCACAATGCATACAGATTGATATAAGTAACAGAATCGGTTTTATTTTCACGAATATTTCATTGCCAACTAACCTTTTAGAGCTAAGTCAAATCCATAAATATGTTTTACATACACAGAAGTTTTCCTCATTTATTATCTTGTAAGTATTCCAGTTTTATCAGAAGGGCTTTTGTGAAGATTTTAGAAATTTCACAGATTGGAATCATGAGTCAATTGAGGCTAGACCACCATGGAAAACCTGGAAGCACTGAATGGCCGTTTCGTCCTAGTAAGGGGCTCATCAGTAGTGCGCATCCACGATCCTGCACGCTGCGAGATTCGAACCCAGGGCCTAGGACGAAACGGCCGTTCAATGCTTCCAGGTTTTCCATGGCGGTCTAGCTTCAATTGACTCATGATTTCAATCAGCGATATTCCAGTTTTGTTTAGTTACCTTAGGCTTATTCTTAGAGAACAACTTTAACCTCGAATTTCTTCCCCAATCAATTAAAAATAAATAATTGTTGGTGAAAATCAGTGATTTTATTGTTAATTAACCGATCGATAATATACTATGATCAAAAACTGTAAAATCAAGATAGTATTTTAAATAATAGTACCAATTAAAAAAAGAATAATTTTTATCTCACATTATACAAAAATAATCGATAAATCTAAATTATCGGCATTTCATTTACCCCTTTTTCCCTTCCATTTTATTCTCTTTTCCTCTTTTTGTCAATTTTCCTGTGAATTTATTCATATTCATTTTGTTATAGGCCGTTTGTTTTTATTTTCATGCCTAGTTTATTGAAATTAAATATCTCTTTATATTCTATTGTTTTATTTCAAATGTTACAATAAAAATAGAGGGAAATTTTCTTCTTTTTTGTTGTTTTGATTAATTGGCTTGTATTTAATGATTCTTATTTGAGATGACTATTCTTCAATTTACCTACCTGTTTTATATACAATATAAATACATTTAGACTATTATCACATTTTTTAACAATAAAAAATAACCCTAGTAGAAATTTCCAAATTACAAAATCATGTTACATTCCATAACCTTAGTGACAATAATTTCATTTTAATAAAAAAAATTAAGTTCTCTTTACACTAAAATAAAATATCGGCAAATAATTGACAATACACGTTGCCATTGAAAATATTAACATTTTTTTTTGAAATTGTAAGAATGGTACATTGTTTAGTTTTAATTCAAGAGTATATTGTGTTAAATTATCGAAAAAGAAACACATCAGATCTTGCAAATTAAGTTTTAAGATATTTATTATTGATTATACTGAAATTCGGTATATTAGTATAAATATATAATATATAATGTACCCTTGTGAGCTAGGTTAATTTTACATTGGTTTTCAGGAGAACTAGACACAATCCAGACTCTCATGTGACAACCAAAACAGTACAACTCAATCCTGTTTAACAGGAGAGCCAAACACCGCCCAGGCTTAAATTTTATAACCCGAGCAGTACAGCACAATATCGCTTCACAGGAGAACCAGACATCGTATAGGCTTTAACGCTAAAATCTGAATTGTACAGCTCAATCCTGTAGTGCAACCACACAGGTACCAAGCACCCTGGTGTTTTTTTTCTTTTTTGACTTACCAATCAAATGTTATCATACATGAGTGGAATAGTTAGAATGGCAGCAGAAGCTAATCTAGTCTAAATAGTAAATGAGGAAAAAGAGGTGAAACTATAATTTATGGACGGACCAATCAGATTTACGATAACAGGTCTTGGATTTTGGCGCAAAATTCATTTACCCATTTGGCTAAACAGAATCCTGGTATTATAGCTGGTGTCAGTTCGTGATGAAAACCCTAAATCTAATTCCTAAACCTAACCGTCAACTATAAATCATAATCCTTATTCTTCAAACTGCTTTATAACCCTCACTTAGCCCTAGTAAGTAGGTAGACACTCTCCAGGTCACTTTAGCGTCGCTCAGAAGTTTTCCATAAATTATAGTCTCACCAAAAATGCGTGTATTTCATCAATAGTGTTCCTCATTGCCTAAAGCGAATCATTTAAGCAAGTTTATTTTCAAGGACTCCATTTACCGTATGATAGTTTGCAATTAGATGGATTTGCATTATGGAAAATTCTCCCAAAATGATTTAAAACCACATAATCTACTCACCGTGACTTTTTAGTAAATATTTAACTGAGACAATATCAAAAACACCGTTTTATGGTTGGACGATGACTGAAATTATTAACAAACAATCAATGTTTGTATATTTCATTTGACTGGAAAATTTGAAGCTGTTGTCGAATTTAAATCAGTCTTATCTCAATGACCCATGACGTACAAATGGATCTATGACATATGGCTACCTAAAACATTTTCGTTTTACAAGCGCTACTAACTATTCAATCTGACAACAGTATCAGTAGCCCAACTAGATGTTTTAATCCTTCTTCAAAATTGACAGTCATTTAACGGCATATCAAAATATCTGACAGTTTTCTTTAGTGGTTATTAGTTATAAGCAAAGAGTTTGATAACAAAAACAACCAGAGGTAATCACATTCTTATTTTATGTTCCACTACAACCTCTTTACCTGAATATTTTGTTGTGATTAGCATGACAGATGTATATTACTAGTTCTTTATTTATTTTATCAATGATAGTGATCATAAACTCATAGATGGGCGAATGGCCAGAATTTTAGGGAAAATAAAAAATTTAGTCATAAAAGAGTAAACAAAATGTGATTGTAGATTGACTGTATAGACAATAGTTAAATTATGAAACCTTTATTCGGAGGTTTTGAGTTAATAATGAGGTTATTTTATATTTATTTATAAGTTGCTCGGACATCAAGAATCATAAAACGAAAAATAACAGAATCCCATGAGGCATTATTTATTTGTTAAATACACAATTTTAAATCCTTTTCAACACTCATTCCTATTGCTTTTAACTCTAGTGTGTCTCAAAGTATCTATATGTGTTTTATGTCAAATAAATCTACAATGAGATGCTTTTTGAATTTCACTGATAAACATTACTCTTTATGCTTTTGACTCCTCCGGTTTCAGAGGAAGAACGACTGATAAATTTTCAGTTAGTTTTTTAATAACAAATCAGAAGTTATAGGTTAGATTTAATAAATGATACATACTTCTTACAGTACAATAAGCTTTTCGAAGGATCCGATTTGGTGATGGAAGCTATCTCTAGTTGACAAGACACCTCTTGTTATTAATGACTAACTGATAAAATCAATGAAAATAATTTGGATAATGAAAATAATCATTAGTCATTTTTACGATTTTTCTTAAAAAGTAAAGACATTTGAAAAATAAACCAATTATTAACAAATAGATATATTAATGCTTAGGCCCTATGTTTTAAGCATATACACACGGCTTCATTAATCCATAATAATATCACTCAAAATAACGTAAGTTAGTCAGTCGTAAATGCTGTAACACTGTGAACATTTTGCATAATATCGGAGTATTTTTTACCATTTTATCATTACTATCATAGTGTATCCTTATCAGTGGATTAATATATAAAACATAAAGTTAACTACATATCCTTACGTGATAACGAGTTGTGATTTAACTAAATTATATAAATTTCAACCACTTGGTCAAAGATTTGCTCTGACAATTTTGGCCTAGATATACAATTGGTGAGATTATCTATCAAAAAGTGGATATTTTTTTATAACTAAATATATGAAACCATACTTGGTCAATAAGTTATCTGAATACGTAGAGTATGTTAATAAGAACTAGCACATCAATATTGCTTACAATGGCGAAGTACCTTATTACATCCAAGAAAGTGATCGTTGAATGTAGCTGTTTAGAGTTTCAGAAATTATCTTTGTGGTTTTATTTATTGGCAATAAAATCCCATCTAAGGCTTTCTCTCAGAGCTTCTGCATACTAGGGGTAACCTTGCAAGCCAACTTGAGTGGTCGATGGAGATCGGACTAATAACCCACTCCGTTGTATTTTTGATTAACTCGCGGCTCACTTAACTGCACCGGGCCACCTGATGTGTATGCATATGTATAAGAATTACAGAAGTACTTATGCCTATGTAGTTCATGTATTTATGTATATGAGAAGGGTGTGTGTGCGGTGTCATACAATGGAAACGTTAGCTGAAATATTGTCTGCCTTATGTTTAATAAAATCACCGGCCTAATCTATCAGGTCGAAGACGCAATGAGAAGATATGGTTGAAAATACTGGGTAGACGAGACCAACAACCTCCCCTGAGAGAATCCTTATGCTTAAGTGCGTACCAGGAGGTACTGAGGCGTTAGCCATGGGCTGAATGATATGCATGTAATGTGTGAGAGACAGTCCGTTGTAGAAAATACATTTCAAAGAGAGCGGTGAACATCTACCCTCCCTAAGTGAGTGAATATACCTATGTGCATGTTATGGAATGCATGGAGTACAACATGTGTGTTGCCGGTATGCATGTATTGTATATTTGCTCATGGGATAGGTATACCTGTATTTATACCTAGAAATACTTTAATGAAAGTCCGTGTATTACCTAGTATACATGTAAACAATAC